AAAAATTTTTTTTTCAATATCGGAGGTTATGATCCAAATGTACAAATATTATGGAATGTATGTAAATAACTGCTCATTTTTCAATATTTTCCTGTTCTATATACAGTTACGGTTATTTTGATGTATAATTTGATTAGGGGCAAACATATTTTTTGAGTTTCAACTGAGATTATAAGTTTTTTGTTTTCAAATTTTATCCGCAGCCAATCACAATTGTGTTACATAATCGCCTCTTACAGGAACCAAAGTTGAAAAATACTCAAATAAACAATACAGATGTATTCTACAAACCATACTGAAAATGTTGGTATATAATATTATGTTGATATTTATTTGAATTTATGGCCCCCAAGACCTGTGAACTGCGCACTAGTCATCATCTCATTTCGCCCTCCCGAAAAAATTCGTCCACAAGCCGAGAATAATACGTAGCGAATGAGATATGGGAAACCTGAAGTACATGTAAAGGACCAAGAGGGGAAAAGCATTTTTGGAAAGGAAACTCAGTCTAAACGATGGGTAGAGCATTTCAACAGTCTCCTGAACAGACCACCACCGAGTAACCCACAAAACATGCTACCAGCCAGAAATGAGTTACCTATCTGCTGTGATGCTCCTTCAAACAAGATATTCTGGATGCCATTAAGAAGCTGAACAAAGGTAAAGCAGCCGGTCCCGACCAGATTCCACCTGAAGCCCTTAAAGCAGATGCCAGTGTGACGGCAGACATCCTCCTCCCACTGTTTACCAGGATCTGGAATGAGAGCAAGTTCCCAAAGGATTGGAAAGAAGGACACCTCGTGAAGTTTCAAAAAAGGGGGATCTCAGCAACTGCAGCAATTACAGAGGGGTCACTCTTCTCTCAATACCAGGTAAAGTCTTCAACAGAATCATTCTGGAGAGAATCAAGACAGGAACGGATCCAAAGCTATGGGATGAACAGGCCGGTTTCCGGAAAAATCGCTCAACCACCGACCAGATTGCCACGCTGAGGATTTTTGTGGAACAGTCCCTGGAGTGGAACTCCCAGCTGATTGTCAACTTCCTTGACTATGAGAAGGCCTTTGACAGTATAGACCGAGCGACACTTTGGAAGATAATTCGACACCACGGAATCCCACAGAAGTTGGTGAACCTCATCAAGAGCATGTACGAAGGGACAAGTTGCAGGGTTGTACATGATGGCCAGCTCACTGACAGCTTTGATATCAAGACTGGTGTGAGACAGGGATGCTTACTATCACCGTTCCTCTTCATATTGGCAATCGACTGGCTGATGAAGGAAACCACCAGAGGACACAGAAATGGTATACAGTGGACACCATGGACACAGTTGGACGATCTAGATTTTGCAGACGACTTGGCGCTTCTGTCGCACACCCAGCAACAGATGCAAGCAAAGACTTCAGTATTAAACAACCTATCGGAGTCTGTTGGATTGAGGATCTACCCCGGAAAGTCAAAGGCCCTAAGGACAGATGCACAACGAAAGGAGCAGGTCACAATAGAAGGAAAGGCCCTAGAAAACGTTGAATCCTTCTGCTATCTTGGGATCATAGTTGACAGAGAGGGAGGAACAGGTGCTGAAATAAAGTCTCGCATTGGAAACACACAGGCAGCTTTCATATCTTCTATAGGATTTGGAAGACCAGAGATATGTCACTTCGAACAAAGCTGAGGATTTTCAATTCAAACGTGAAGTCGGTCCTGTTGTATGGATGTGAGGCATGGAACGCTTCACAGACTTGTATAAAGAGGATCGGGGTTTTCTTGAACAGGTGTCTAAGAAAGTTACTGAGGATCAGATGGACAGACAGGGTCACCAATGCGGAAGTGTTAAGTAAAACAAGACAGATCCCATTCAGAGATGAGGTAGGAAGAAGGCGGTGGCGATGGATTGGACATACTCTCAGGAAGTCAGGCAGCTGCATAACAAAGAAAGTTTTGGATTGGAACCCACAGGGCAAGAGATCAAGTGGAAGACCTCGTGGAACCTGGAAAAGAATCACAGGAATCGATGTACAGAAAAGTGGGAAGACATGGAATAACATCAAGAGGCTAGCCCAGGATACAGAAAAGTGGAGCGTGTTTGTCCGTGGCCTATACCCTGGTGAGGGGGAGAAAGGCAATGATGATGATGACATTGAGCATTATCTTAGTGGAAATGGGCTATGGAAGTAAAATTGACTATTGTTGTTTTTATTTTCTTTCCCATTTTCTCTCTGTCTTAAAACGTCCTTTCAAATGAGTATCTTAAACACACATATCCAGCCTCCTTATTGAGAGGCACTTAAAAGAATTCATGAAATCGATTTTGAAGATGAGTGTGAGTATGGTGATTTTTATCAAATCGATTACTCCTTCCACCCCTAAAAAGAGAAAGATGAGAAGAAAAGTAGAAATAATTTTTTACTATAGATAAATACAAAATAGATAGCAAAAAATAAAGGGTAGATCTAAGTTTTTAAAAAGTAAAAATAAATTACAAAGCAAGTTGAGAGCCAAACAAGAATCGTTGTTCAGCGCCGAAGAAATTCTCTTAGGAACCAGCACAGTCACGTGACAATATGACGCCACTTGGTAACGGCTATTGTTCCCCTTGAGTGATTGATTTCGACAAGACGTGATTGCATATTCCGAGTGAAGAAAAAGATTTCTTGCATCCACAAAGTTCCCAAAGTTTGAGTAAAGTTGCACTGTTTTGATTATTTTCAAGTTCCTGTATTTTTCAACATCCGTTTTGATTGTGTGCTTTTTGTAGTGCGTTTAATTTCTACATAAGCGTATTTGAGTGTTTTGGTTTTTGGTTATTTCATTGTTTAGTTGAGTTTTTTTGCTTGTTTGTTTGTGTGTTTGTTTGTTTGTTTAAGTTTGTTTGATTGTTTGTTTGTTTGTTTGTTTTGTTAGAGTTTTACGTCGCTTTTGTTTGAGTGTTTGCACCACTTGTTCTCTTTGTATTGGTAAGTGAAGAGAGAAAGAGAAAGACGGTGAGGAATTGAGGAATAAAGTCTCTCAAAGGCTCAATCGTAAGTCTCTTCTTTTCTAAAGTACGGCTGGTGGTTAGTTTTAAGCCCAGCGATGAAGCGTATACGTAAACTTTTCTTGTCTTGTTTCTCCTCCTGTTGCAGGGAAGAAAGCAGCGGCCAGCTGCACTCAGGAGACTCTCAAGATCTCCATCTCTCCCTGGAAAGCAGCTGCTCAAGCCAGCTGAACGAAAACCTTGCCGAATGCCCTCGTGGTGATCAAGCCAGATTGGAGGACCACGAGGTAACCATACAGGTGCAGAACTGTCTGACTCACCCAGTGAGTATTCTATTTTCAGTAGAGACGGTTGCACAAGAATACCGGCATTGCACCTACCGTCAGCCTCCTTGACGAAGATCTACACCTCTCACTACCCTCCAACTATGAGAGCGAGTCGGACTCTGAACAGCCGGGAAACTGCCACGATGATTGCGCGAGTCACACTCTAGAGGCCTCCACGTATCGTGTTACGTGGACACCAGTCATCCATGTTTCGTATGGCCTTGCAGGTCAGTATCTCATCAACAGGCCGTTCCGTAGAGCAACAAGCGCGATCAAGAGGTCCAATCCTATAGCTCGAGCTCGGAGGAATGCTTGCCTGCCTTCTCTCCACAGCCACCACAGCCTGCTGACAAGTTGTGTGTGGAGGAAGCTGACATACTCGAGTGCGTTTCCTTATGTCGAAACTGTAACGGTGAATGTGATTTACCTCTAGCTAAGAAGCTAAGACCCCCTACCAGACCCCCCTCCCTCCCTGTTCTCTTCCCTCTCTTGTGTCCTCTTCCTCACGTCCACCCTGTCTTTTCTTGTCTTCTCCTGTTTAGCTTTTTGAGTTAATGGACGCTGCTTCTTGGACCTTTTTTTCTGCAATCAAACATTCTGACTTTTGTTATTGTCCATGCCTGAATTGTTTTAATTCCATACCATGTTTCTGAGCACAACTCCCATCTTCTGCTAAGCCAATTCCTTCCTCTTTTTCTTTTTACCTTTGCTTTTAGAATATCTTTCTATGATGAATCATTCTATTTGATGCATTCAACATAGTTTAGGTTCATTATCATTATGCTCCTTAAGGAGTGTTGGTGTTTCTATTTCCTATTTCCTTTCATATTCATTCGTTAGTTTCTGTCTTCAGTATATTTTTAAAAATCTTCTTGTCTCTTGATGTTCGTTGCTTCTTAATGTTGTGGTGGGAATGCAATACTGCTTAGGATTCTTTTTTTCTGTCATTGCAACGTGCTTTCCAGATAAAATTTATCCTTTTCTATTTTTATGATGCAGTTTAAATTCTCTGGAGTTGTTTTCTCATTCTCTTTAATCTTGGCTCCGCGGTATTTATAAATTGCTTTTTTGCTATTTCTTCCTCACAGTTCTTAATATAACATCTTTGCATTTGCATGAGTCTGTCATTTCGCATTTCTTTCCATTTAGATGAATTCCGTTTGGCTCACTGTGTTCGTTGACAGATTCTATTTTTTAAAGTCTCTCATTCTCTTGAGTTTGTGGCAACCTCGCTCCAAACACAATGTTTCAACACTTTGTAGATCCAAACAATGATGTACTTTATGTGGACCAGGTGAGGTTTCATTTTAATTGTTTGTTTAGGCTCTTGATAGTGTGATTGTTCTTACTCTTCTCCATATAAGATTTATTGCTTTCCAACTCTATACGCACTAATGCAATTTCTGGTGATAAACAACTATGTTTTACTTGATTTGTACATAAATATTTCTTTTTGATAAATGTTGGTAAATTTAACAAAAATGTAAAACTGGACTTTTTTGGTGGTCACTTCACAAGATGATTGTGTGAAAAAATCTCTACTTTTTTGGCAGATGCGTGAATGTAGAATTACGTTTATTGAGC